GAGTAACTATTTATGGTAAAACTGATTGTTACTAATACCTATAATTGAAATTGTAATTCTTACACACTCAGTTGTCTACAATCCTACCCATTTCATAGATAAAGATTCGTGAGACGCACTAGTTTTTTGCCTTATTGAAATAAATTGAATTTAATAAAAAAATGAAATGGAGTAGAGAAAAAGGTGCAGCAGGATAGGAAAGAGAGAGGAAGGAGAGGGAAGGAAAGGACATGTCCAAAGCTGTGGCATTCAAAAAGTTGATTTTGTGGTAGAAGAGAGAGTGGGGCTATAGCTAATATGTATTCTTCTACTACGAGAAATTTTGCTTGCTTAATTGATGTGTTTCACTTTCATTCAATTCCGCGTACGTGTCAGTCAATTAATTGAATAATAATAGGAGAGTATCCTCCGCATAGACAACTTAGTTGGTCACAGAAATACTGTTTGAAAATAATGATCAGGATTGAGTCTCACAAATGGTAACCTCTCAAAGTGAGGGCAAAAGTCTAGTCTCTATGCTTAGCTGAGTTACCATAATTTACATCTTCTCTCAGATGTTCTGTCGAAACCTAGAGTTGGACTTAAACCTTTTGGGAACAATAATAGGAGAGTCTCATTTTTTTTTTTCAATTTTCAAATTTATAGTGTGGTGAACAATCACTTTATAACACGTTATGCAAAATTTCCTTGCTTGTGTATCACGAGTTCATATTCATAAATTTGAGTGGATAATTAGTTCATATTTGAGAAATATAGTTTGATTCCTCAGTCCTCACATTTAATATGTCCTACTCCCCATCTTAATCCAACCCAAAGTAATTTATGGGTGAAGCTTCAGATGGCTAAACTCAGTATCCCGCCATCGAAACATAGTACTAATTGCTACGTGTCTATAATGAAATAAAATTGCACACTCGCTATTAGTTATAATTTCTAGTGTAATTATAAGCATTAGTTTAATCTTTGCAATTGATATAAAAAAAAAATAGTAATGTTCACTTCCCTACTTAAAAACAACTAACATTTTACTTTCACAATTTACCTTTTAAGCAGGTTTGGTTCAAGGAACGAATTTTAAGGAAATAGATCGAAACACTATTCCATAAGGAATGAAATAGACAATAAATATAACATAAATTGTATCTATTGTTTAGTTCGTTGAGAGAATAGATTTTAAGAATATTATTTCAGTATTTGATTGGTTTAAGTGAAATAATTTATTCCCAGAAATAAAAGACATTAACAAACAACATAATAGACCTGTTCTCGAGAATGTCATATATTCCATTTGAGACCTATTATGCAAACCAAATATGCTATTCTTTTAATTTTTTTTTTTCATGTGGATCACTATTCAATCACTAGGATAAATTTGAAAATAGTATTATCTCTTACAAATTGGGAGAAGGGAGTAATAAATAAATAGTTGAAGATGAAGATTAATATTTAGAGAGAGGAATTGAAGATATGACATATAAAATGAGGACTCAAAAAAAGAGAAGAGATAGAGTTGGGAGGGGGGCAAAAAGACAAAAGAGACTAGGTTTGTAGGGTTATGAAAGAAATGAAAGATGGATGGTTGGTTGGTTGTTTGGGCATTTTCCAAGAACACAAAAACCCCTCTCCCTATTTCCCCTTGTTGATTAGCTTCTATTCCTTTTTTCCTTGTGAATGAATGACTGGGTGGTGAAAGGGGAAAGCTAAGGGTGGGAAAGGGCTAAGTCTAAATGCATGATACTTGTTGGTGGGTTAGCTGGCAACCCCTGCCCCCTCCATAGGACCCATTCCCAAGATTCCTGACCATTCTCTCTGTTTAAAAAATTAGAGACTTCAAGAAACTTTTCTCTCTCTTTTTTATTTTTCATTTTCTATGAAGGATTTTTTTTTTTTTTTTTTTTTTTGTTTACTAAGAATTTTCACTGTCGAACACAATAACTGATCCTCTCACTGAATTATAGGTACATCTATGAAGGATTATGAGTTCAACTAAACTAGTTATAATAATTATAATTGGTGGACAATGGGGTATTTGGTAAATACACTACTGGAAATTATGGAATTTCCGACCACCTGAAAATAATTTTAAATCAAGTCGAAAGTCTTGTTCCGACCACTTTTGGTATCCGGAAAAACTTTGTTGCTATTTCCGACCACTTTTTGGTATCAACTTGATTTAAGATCACTTTCAGATGGTCGGAAATTCCATAATTTCCAGTAGTGATAGCTGTTAGCTGATTGGATTAATGAGTTTAACTAGTTGATAATATTAACTGGTTGTACAAAAGTGTTTAGTAAATTAGTTGTTAGCTGATAGCTGATTACATGCAAAATGACTTGAGCAACTTTTTGAATTTTAGCATTTTAGAGCAATAAGCTGTTACAAAAAGCTAATTCATCAAACACTCATATTGATTGTTTAACCAAGTCAAGCAGCTAATAGTGATCAATTATGTTACCAGATAAATTAATTATGTTACCAAACATGGTCAATATCTTAAATCATGGGTAAAATAAGAGTATGAAGGGCAGGGTAAGTGTAAAAGGATGGGATCGGAAAACAATAGGAAAATAAACAGAAAAATAAAAAAGGAGTAGCTGTATAAGGATGGGATCAAGATATAATGGATCAAAACATTATTATATTAAAACATAAAACACTAGTAGTAACAAAAATTAGATTTAAATATATTTAAATGAGTAACCAATCATATATAACTAAATGAATAAACTTATTAGCAAATGGATGGTATGGACAACTCATTTTTCAATCTTGTTAAGAAACCTATTACATTGAAAAAGCTATACATACATATAATAATGCATCATAGTATACATGCAAACACTATCTTAATGAGTCTTCTAAAACATTTATTTACTTTAATAATTTAAAATCCATGATCATAGAATGTGTGAATTGAATCCCTTATACGCAGATGAAGATTAGGGTCTAATCGGTGGTTAATTGCGTGACTCGCGATTTATCTTTGCAGTAATTTTAAGAGAAAGTTGTGAGTTTAGAATTAGTCTGACGAAACTGGGATTACCTTAATTAAAAAAATGTAATTCAGTTTAAAAATCATTAGGGAAAATTAGTTTTACCCACTTTGCTTGTAAAATCATATTTTATGAAACCATTTTCCTCTCCCTGTTACCAAAGAATCAATTGCCCTCCTAATCTTAATGTCAAGACAACTGTCAATGCAGAAACCTACACACTGCCCACTTTTGTCACTGAACCAAAATAAAAATAAAGACATTTTAAAATTCCATTTAGATCAATAATAATAATTTTTACCATTTTTTTCTCAAACAATTAAACAAGCGCTAAAAATGAAATATATCATATATTTTTATATCAAAATGTATTTCAATTAGCATACGACATATGTTACATTGTCACAGTCTTTTGAATTTATTCACTATATATGAACTTTTTCAATCTTTTCATGAGTGAATAAAATAAAATCATATGAAATGAAAATAAAAAAATTGAAGCATGTATGTTGGTAAAATAAATAGCTATATATGTTGATATATAAAATATAAAAATGAAATTCAACTATCAACTTAAACTTTAATTTTAAGTGTGACGAAACACATCATTCAATTTTCTACCAAAGTCATACACCTGCAAAATGTTAAAAACTAAAGTTTACATGTTGATATGAAGTCCATCAAAAGGTAATCGATACACACACATGAGAGACTGTATGTTGAACATATAATATATAAAACATGCCCTTTGGGACTTAGCGTAGTTGGTTCGTCACCTAACTTAATTAAAAGTCATGATTGGAGGCGACAGTGTGTGGGGGAGGGTAAAGATGCTAGATGGTCTGGATTGAATCACTTGTGTGCATATGAAGACTAGGATTTGATCGGTGGATATATATATATATATATATATATATATATATATATATATATATAGGGAAGGGTTCAGGTGCGGGTATAGCTTCCCGTGCGGTTGTGCGGTTAGATCTGAGCTGTTGATCAAATTTAGATCAACGGCTCAAATCAATAAAAATTTAAAAAAAAAAAAAAACGCGTGTCGGGAAGAAGATAGCGCCTACACATCGTCTACACAAATGATAGCGTCTACACTAATGTTAGCGTCTACACAAATGAGTAGCGTCTACATAAATGATAGCGTCTGCACAACCTCACGCACATTAAGTACAAACCCCCCACACATTAAGCACAGCCTCACGCACATTAAGCACAAACCCCACGCACTTTAAATATTAACTCACAGATTTTAAGTTTCAACAACTATTGACATTAAGCACAACCTCACGCACATTAAGTACAAACCTCACACACATTAAGCACAACCTCACGCACATTAAGCACAAACCCCACGCACTTTAATATATTAACTCACAGATTTTAAGTTTCAACAATTATATAATCATAATAAGGTGAAAACCAATCTTAACTTGCAAACATGCGAAATCTAAAGGATTGCACCGCAACTACTACAAAATTGCACCACTATGACTCCCAGACATGCCTAGATGACCTTGCGGGCAATCGTATTCGGATGCAGTGCAATCGTATTCGGGTGTGGTACAATTATATAATAACTGCAGTGCAATCTTTCAGAAGTTCGCATGTTTGCACGTTAAGATCAATTTACACTTAATTATGAATTATATAACATAAATATACAATTTAACTCTCATTATAACTTTTAATTGATTGAGATGAAACACATCACAGAGTCATTACAAACAAAACCAAATTGTACTGACGTCAAAAGAAACAAACATTTTTATAATATAATATTGCAATATTTTATGTTTTATACTATACCTACTCTACAACATAACTTATCTAAAATTACTTTTAGGCTGCATGGTAAAAATGGTAATAATTAAAATTAATATATAATTCACTCACCTCTCTCTAGAAACAGATATACACCCAAATATATATAGGTAAAGAAATGGGAAAAAGTCTTTGTTGAAGCTGATAAGGTATATAAGCAAACCATCCACCACCCAAAACTTGAATCCATCCATACTCTCTCCTCCGCTCCCAATCAATTCCCAAACACCATTATTATTATTTTTTTTTCTCTTTTCTTTTCTTTGATGTTAACTGAAAGAAATATTCTTGAAAACTACTCTTCTCTATTTGCTTCCGCAACTAAGAGATCAAAGTTCCCTGTATGTATATAAGCCTATCTTCGATTCTTTGATCACTCTTCCAAGCATGAATCAAAGCCAAAGATTATCATGAGTACTTGCATTGAAATGGCTTTCTTCCCCACCAATTTCATGCTCCAAACTCCCCATGAAGATGACCATCAACCCTCCACTTCTCTCAACCCCCTCCTCCCCTCTTGCACTCCTCAAGATTTCCATGGTTAGTTCTCTCTCACTCCTCTCTCTCTCTCTCTATATATATATATATATATATATATATGTGTGTGTGTGTGTGTACACACACTACTGGAAATTTTCTGATCACCTGAAAATGATTTTCCGACCACCTGAAAGCAAAAAGTGGTCGGAAATAGCAACAAAGATTTTTCCGGATACCAAAAGTGGTCGGAATCAGGCTTTCGACTAGATCATTTTCAGGTAGTCGGAAATTCCATAATTTTCAGTAGTGTCACGCGTAAAAGCTCCCGGGGCATAGCTCAGTGGCAAAAGACTGAGTGTGACTGTGGTAGTCAGCACTCAGATCACTGTGTTACTGAGGCACATCTCACGATTTACATCTGTTTTCTTTGTGTTGTAGGAGTGGCATCATTTCTAGGGAAGAGATCTATGTCATTTTCGGGGGTGGAGACGGGGAATTGCGAAGAAGGTGGGCATGGTGGAGAGGATGATCTGTCAGATGATGGGTCACAGGCAGGGGAGAAGAAGAGGAGATTGAACATGGAGCAAGTGAAGACTCTTGAGAAGAACTTTGAGCTGGGAAACAAGCTTGAGCCTGAGAGGAAAATGCAGCTAGCCAGGGCTCTTGGGCTGCAGCCTAGGCAGATTGCCATTTGGTTTCAGAATAGGAGGGCTAGGTGGAAAACTAAGCAGTTGGAGAAAGATTATGAGGTTCTTAAGAGACAGTTTGATGCCATCAAATCTGAAAATGATGCCCTCCAAGCCCAGAACCAGAAGCTTCATGCAGAGGTATGGTATCCCCATTTTCTGGATCTTGAAACCATCTTAATTGGTATCTATCCATCTATGCATATATCAATTCTATAATATTTAATTGCCCTGGATGGGTTGGTTAAAACATCAATTCAAGTCACATAATTTGTAGTATTCTTAGACCACACTGTTCATGATAATTAGTCTCATCATATCATCAATAATCATAATATGATAATCATTGAGTTATCATAACATCTTTTGGCTGTTCAATCCCATTCTAGCTTAGTTAGCTAGCTTGTGTTTAATTTAAAAGTAATTGATCATAAGAGGTAAGTTGAGGGGATAAAGTGATGGGCTGTCTCTAGAGTTTTTTTTTTTTCTTCCCTTTTTGGGTGTATATACACCTTGACTTGTGACTCCAGTCGTCAAAAGATCATAAAGAAGTAAACCAGCCTAGGTTACCTGAGAGTTAGCAGCATAAACAAAGATGGATTTGTGAATGAGAAATACAAGCATAGCTGACCAGCTCAAATCAAGACGGTAAGGATAAAGATTCAAACTCGTGACCTTATGGTTACAACTGTGGATCTTTTTCGATCTTGGCTAGGGTTACCCCCTTCTGTAGAGAATAATAATTCCTAGAGAGAGTACGTTTTTATTATTGATCAATGGCGCGTTTAGAAATTACAAAGATGGAGTGGGCGGGAATTCTAAAGCTGATAAAATACAGAACCGCAACTTGGGGTTTGTATGTATTGTTTAATTAAATTTTGACATGATGTATGGTTAATTTGTGAATTGAGAAATAATACAAAAGTGGTGGCCTGGGCCTCCTCAGATAATGGCACTGAAGAACAGCAGGGATCATCAGCCCACAGAGTCCATAAACCTGAACAAAGAAACAGAAGGATCATGCAGCAATAGAAGTGAGAACAGCTCAGAGATCAAGCTGGACATCTCAAGAACAACAGCAACAGCCATTGATAGCCACCCTCCATTAACTGGCAATGGCAGCAGATCTCTCTTCCCACCCAACACTATGAGGCCAGCTGGGATGCCCCACCACCTCTTTCACAGTAACCCATCTTCTTCCTCAAGGCCCCCTTCTTCTTCCTCAGATCTCCACCCTCAATCTGTCAAAGAAGAAACCCTATCCACCATGTTCTGTGGCATTGATGACCAGTCCGGGTTCTGGCCATGGTTGGAGCAACAGCATTTCAATTAAGACCCAGTGATCATATTGTTATTGTTATTATTATTTTTGCTTCTTTTATTTTCTTGGGTTTGAGTGCAATTTCATATAAGATTTGGGTCTTAATTAGTTTATGATGATGAGAGTTCTTTGTTGATCAAGGTGCAGTGCATGGTGTATAAATTAAAGTAGCAAACTTAAGAAGTATTACTTTTTTTTTTATCAGATCTTTATGGAGAAATAATAATTGAAAAGATGTGTCTTTTGCATTACATGCCATGTTTCTTATCTACCAAGCTGTGTGTTTATTAATGTCCAATTATTTGTAAGATTTGGGACCAATGATCTTGTGGTCTAATGGCACGAAGGGATTGCTTCAGTAAATTGAGAAAGTAGTTATGAACAGATACTATATTGTAACAGAGTCAGTAATACTCAAAAAAAAATAAAAAAAATAACAATCCTTAGTTGTGTTGCTTAGGTCAACTGGTATTACTTAAATTATGATGGTAATAATTTTTTGATTTATAGACAAATCTTAGGACATCTTCAGAGGGAATAATAATTAAGAAAGATGTGTCTTTTTGCATTGATTGCCATGTTTTCCACATCTAGGAAGGAAGAAGGGTTGGCCCACCAAAAATATTCCAAACTTGAATTATATATTTTTCCTTTCCATATTTTATGTGTTATTTAATTCAAGTTTTTATAATATTAAATTTAGTATAATATATAAAATTTATATATTTAAAAACTGTATTTAAAATATTATTAAACACAAATTTTTTTAAAATAATTAGAAAAAATACTAAAAAATAAAAAGTTAATTCAATATGTGAATAATGAACATGATAGATAAAATGAGACAGAATAAGTATATGCTAGTGATTGCTTTCACTTAGCTTAGCAATAGCATGCATGATTCCTATCAATTTATATACAGAGTAATTTTTATTTTATTTTATTACACTCTCGTCCCTTAAGAGATGTTGAGATTTTGAATTCCCACTCGTATAGAAAAAAAATTAATCTAGCCAACACTTTATCTCTTAATTGAGCCGGCTTGGTAAGGACAGAGATTAGTCTGAGTATGATACGGGTTTAAAAGTGATTCCTACAATTAGAACCTGTTCAAAGCATCTCATGGTCTAACAAAAAAGTATTGGAAGTAATTTTTTTTTTTTATTGCATTTTGTGTGTGTGTGTGGTTTCTTGCTTTGGGATCATGCCCTTGTCCTTCACTGCACCAAAAGTAGTGTTGTCCTTTTTCTTTTGGTGCTAAATTTCATGGCTTGCTAGGTAGCTCAATATCAATCTTACTTTTAATTGCAACTTGTACAGTTGTACGTCACAGCATGGTGCGGTGGGAATTGTACTTAATATTTATTTTTGGAATAATTTTACTTATAGTTCATGATTTTTGGATTGAAATAATTATTAATATTGATGTTTGGTTTTATGCACGGTTTTATAATAGAATTAAAGGTTTTAAAAATACAATAATAAAAAGTTAAGTAAATTAATCTTAATATAATGACATTCAAAGTACAAATATGAACCCAAAACAAAAATCTAAAAACACTAATTCAAACTTAAAAATTAGATTAAAATGATACCCGTTTTTAATTAGTGAATGAGGTTTTTAATTGAAAGAGCAATCAGATGTTATAGTTGTGTTTTAAAAAGTTGTCAATCAAACAGTAGCTATGATTTTAATTCCTATTCATGGTGTGTAAACTCGTGAATCAAACACACCCTTAATCTTGTGACATATTTAGGCTAATCCCGGTTCGCGTCGAACTGCCTAGTTAAGGGACAAAGTGAGGACCATATTGATTTTTCTATATGAGATGGAACTTTGACCTCTCGACATCTCTTAAAGGATGAGAGTGTACGATTATTCACGTTGGTAAAAAGAAGAAGAAACTTGACATTTTAAGGGTAAGAACTAAGAAGTTTAGTGTTTACATTTTACCCCAATAACAGGCAGAGGAAACAGCAGCAGCCTTTGGTAAGAGTGCGTAGGCGTAGGGTGGGAGGAAAGAGTATCAAACACACATTCCGAGGAGAGGAAGAGGACAAGCAGAGAGAAGAGAGGAAGAAAACAAAGAGAGTTGGAAATGGTCATTCTCGTGAAGGGGACGTTGGCAAACTTGTGCACAATGAGAGGAGAATTCAATCCACTCCTCTAAACTAATTTTAATATAATTAACAAAAAATATATATGAAATAGATGATGTGAAATAGTACTTGTTGAAAAATTAGTTTAACATGATATTTTAATTTAAGTGGTTATTTTGAAACAATGTTTCGAGTGGGGTCTATATCTGATTTGGATCAAGTTAAAATAAATTCGTGTGTTATTTTAAATATTTATAATTTTTTACAAGGTAGTATCTGTTTTGATATATATTTTTTCAAATATTTTCAGCCTAAAGAATCTAAACCTCTACCACCAGGATTCAAACATATGATCACCCATTTGACTTCATATTTTTTTTTAGATGAGAAGTTTAAATTGATATATTATGCACTCAAAAGCGATAATCTGTGAAAGAAACAATTAATTCTCAAAGTATAGTCATTAAGTTGGGAAAATGAAGTTTGATAATACTCGTAATAGTCTTTGTCCTAGGCATATTGAAAATTGATGTGCGTTTACACTAGTATATATACAATTCAACTTTTTAAGAAAAAAAAATATGTGGCGGCTGTTCGTTCGACTAGATCAGCTGAATTGCCACAAAACTTATCATTTGATAAGAATCTTTTCGAATAATAGTCTTTGCAGGTGTGTAACCTCTTGAATTTCGTGATATGGAATTATAATATATAACTTTTGTAACCTTAGGGGTTATTTCGTATTAAAGTGAGGTTACAAAATTCAATTTTTAAATGTCATTAGTGCTGATTAATTCCAAATCTCTTATGTAAATAGGTGGTTACCAGGACTATGTGGTCTAATGGTATCCGGGTTGGACTTTCATTTGGAAGATTATGAGTTCGAGCCTCAGTGGAGGCGTTATTGGTTCTTTGTGTTTCAGTAGGTTGAGAAAGTATATGAACAGATACTACAATGTAATAGAACCAGTAGCTTTCAAAAAAAAAAAAAAAATGTAAATAGGTGGTTGTGTAGAATATTTTATGCCACGAAAAATTTTGAGTTTTTGTCAATCTCGTATTACTTTCAACTCTCATAGAACCATCTGCCAACCTTCTACTAAAATTTTTGTGTTGTCTTTGTTCAAGTGCTCTAAATGCAGTATATTTGCGTGTTATCATTCATTTCATCAGGTTGCTTGCTTACATGGAAGGTGAGTTGACATTTTAAATAAATTTTAATAATAAACTTTAAAATAAAAATATAAATATAATTAAAATTAAAAATAAATAAATGAAGACGGAGAGATCTGTCTTTATTTCCAACCGAAGACGAAGGAGGAGGGGTGGCTGAACTTTTTTATTTTTTATGTTTATTTTTTTTAAATTTTAATTTTAATTTAAAATTTATTTTATTTTAAAGTTTATTATTAAAAATTATTTAAAATGACAACTCACCTTCCACGTAAGTAGACAACTTGATGAAATGGATGGTAACCTGCTATTAAGTGAAATTGCATACATTTGGAGTGTTCAGTGCCTGTAAATGTATTTTGTTTTTTGTTCAGTGACCTAATTACACTTTTAGACTACGTTCAGTGGCTAATTTAAACATTTTTCCTAAATATTTAAGCACTATACGTCCTAGTCTTAATCCACTTTTTTTTTTGAGTACTACTAACTTTATTACATTGTGCTAATCCAAATGTGGACTAAATGTCCTAATCCACATTTAGTTTTATTTAGAGCGAAAAGATAGGAAAAAAAATAAAAAATTAATCCAGTCTATACCTACAAGCATTAACTTTACTATTGTTGAATTAAATAGACCGGATCGGAGAGACGTAAATAATTATCATTGTACATCATCCTATAATAAAATTAAGTAGGGTACATGTGTCCCGCACGAGCTTAGCTCATTAATTCAGTAAGCAGTATTTGGGAGAAGAGATCAATGTTCGAATTTCGACAGCGGCAGTGACAGTGTGGGAATTATGTCCAACAAAGTGGGCAGATCCCTTGTGCGCATCGGCATTTGGCCATGTCAGCTGAGCCATTGAGTCACTGTGATCTACATCTCACAAATGCTCTGTCGGATTAGGATTGGATATTCAACTCCTTTTGGGAGAAGTAGGGGTTCATGTGTGACAATCCTAACCAAATTGATTGACTAATATCACAAGACAAAATTTATTAGATGTACGTACACACTCGAGTGCTCTGTCGGATTAAGGTTTGATATTCAACACCTTTTGAGAGAAGTAGGGGTTCATGTGTGACAATCCTAACCAAATTGATTGACAAATATCACAAGATAAAATTTATTCGATGTACATACACACTCGAATAATATCTGTAGCTTAGCTTTCTCCCGACACGTTTGTGCACACAGCTCTAGGGAAGGCGTCCTGCGGGTTAAGGTTTGTGGACACAACTTTAGGGAAGGGAGATTAGTCTGGCGTAAATTCAGAAATTTATGTATCAAGAAAAAAAAAAAAAAAAAAAAGGGATGCATGCTGTGGTGTACAGCATGTACTCTTTACCTACCACTTTCTGTCACTAGGGGTTTTTTTTTTTTTTCTTTGCTTTGGTTGAGTTTACAGGAATTCACTGTACACTACTACACCCTTCTTTGTTTTGGAGTGTTCATGTGTGATAAACCAAGAAAGTGAGAGAGAATATATTGTGAGTGAGAAAAATCAACATGTGACCTACTGCCACCCACTGCCCATAATAGCATCCAATATTATAGCTACCTCTTACACTCCCCATCATGGCTGCCTTACAATTGCAATTCTTGATAATTGAACCAATCTTCTAAAGTAATGGACATCTGAACTCATTTTATTATTATATTAACAAATTTTATTTTGCATCTACAAGTTGATGGTACTATTTTTTGGCTTAAAGGATGTTAAATTAAAGCAATGGTGTTGTTGTTGGACTAAAATAAAGTAATACTTTGAAGCCCTTATCACTACTCTAAAAGTTATAGCTAGTAGCGAAGGTGCAACTGCCGGACTCGACTCTCTGAGCCGTAAACCAACAATCTCTCTCGAACACGCGACCCTGACTCTGTTACAAATTGTAGGATCAAACGCTTATCACTGTGTCAAAA